GAACTTATAGGGCGTTAAAATCGTATACAGAGCGTCATTCACGCTTTAGTCTTCGTTTGTTCGACTGACAGCGAAGCAAACAAAATTAGACAGTACTGCGATGACATTACAATTTAAATTCAACGTTTTAGCTTTTTCATATTCCTTTACATGTCACTACGTTTAAATAGGTTGACTTGGGACATTTTTTTCGTGGGTTTTGTATTAGACCCGTCGTCCATTTATTTGTAAGTCAATGTAATTTAGATAGCCAATAGCGCACACTTATTTCAGTTTTACCGCGCGCGTCGCAACTATATGCTTAGCCATGCTACGGGGCAGGTATGCTAATAGGTATTAAATACCCGACTACGTGTATTGCGTATATTAATATATTTATCGCGGTAACTAAATTATACATAAATTGAAATCCAGTTAAATTTGAGATAAAAAGAGACAGCAATGAGATATATTATTTTACACATTATAGAATACATAAGTTTAAACGTGTACTTTTAAGCGTTTTTCAAAACCGCTTACAACGGTTCCTACACCATGCATAGCCTGTTGTAACCAATTGCGGCTGCCGCAACCGAGGACTGTATCGATTTCATATTAATTGTATGAAAGTAGAATTATTCGCTTCTTGTTGCCGATTGCTTGTATCCATCGAGTATAACCAGAAATAGAGGCCATCCATCCCTGGCAACTCATCAGGATAATGGGCCTTATATCACTTTTAAATATCAACTCTCATATGCGCTGAAATCACAAATTAGAAAGCTGGAGTAGCACAGCGCCAACACCTGACCTGCGCGTCTCCACATATTCCAAAAATATTCTGTATTTATTGTAATAAAGATAATATCTCTAACAATGAGGGGCTGTACCATTCGGTGGTGCGGGAAAAATCAGCAAAACATCTAATTACGAAACAAACGGAACATTTCATTAAATATGTAATTTAGTAATTTTCGTCCATTATAGCAAAGTTCAAGTAAATTGGTCGATTTGAAGTGAAACAATTGACGACACCCGTCAATTGTTTCGAATTCGGGCTGGACAATCGGAGAGCAGTTGTCCCCGTAATGATTCGGCAGAATAGTTTTTAAACAAATGAAATGACATTTCGTCTCTATTTCTGACTATATACTCTATGCTTTTATCCATGGAGTATACATATAAACAGAAATAGAGACGAAATAAGGGCTTGTATCCGACACAAGACACACATTTGCGCGGCGTCTTAGTTTCTCGGTAAGTGATTTGAATCTAATGAGAAATAAATACTCTTTACAATATGTAACTAACTTACAGGTGTTGACCAAGGAGAAGCGTCGCAAACGGCGTGCGTCATCCGGCGACGAAGCGGCTGCATCTGACGGCGAACAACACGAGCCGCGTGCCAAGAAAACCCGCAGAACGGTAACATTTATTTTAATAATGATAGTAAAAGTATGTTAGAATTATTAATACAAAGATCGAATGCAAAGAAAAATCCCTTCAACTTCAACTTTTGTATCTATGGCTCCGTCGTTTTGCGCGACGATTTCGCCAACGTCAGGGTTGAAAGACATGTAGAGCGGTGGCGAAATAGATTGCCGGTTATTAAAATACTTCGGCGGTTATTATACACATTGACGGTTATATATATTCGAATATGTGTCAGGCTGTCAACATCTGTCCGAAACAATTATATAATATTATATTACTTTATACTTAATATAGTAATAACGCATAGAAACCTAGTCCGCACACTCTAAGTGAAGCAAATTGAAGCGCGCCCAATGGGCCTACACGAGTGGGCGGGCCTTCAGTGCTCAAGGTCAACTTGCACCGCGAACAGCTCAAGAATTTTAGCTAAAAATGATGAAATGTGCGGTAAATGAGTGTAAAAATACGTCAGACAAACATAAAATAGATACTAACATCACATTCCACAAGGAAGTAACGCGTTTCAACTTGTATTTTTATATAAATATTCACTAAAACCGAAAATTAAGCTACTACTAAAACTAGCCTTCATGAATTTGATTTTTGCCTCACTTGTGACAGTTCGTTTGATGAACTATCATTCTATGCGTTATTATTCTAAGACTTTATATTATATTAGATTTTTAACAGGACATTGGCGAAATCGCCATTTTTTTTTTGTATAATTTTTATAGTAATACTAAACTACCGTACATAGTTATTTTTACTTGACATTGGCAAAATCATTGATTATTTCGATGGGGCCATAACATTTAAAAGAAGAAGATTATATTACTTCATAAATAAACAAAACAAAAATACTTTATTAACCGACTTCAAAAAAAGGAGGAGGTTCTCAATTCTACTGTTTTTTTTTTTGTATGTATGTTACGCGATAACTCCGGTATTTGTGAACCGATTTTCATGATTATTTTTTTATTGGAAAGAGGGTACCCATGGTGGTCCCATTTAATTTTGAAGAAAATCATACACCTCTAATGGTTGCCTTCCCGGGTGAAGATTTATTTTTATAAATAGCGCCTAAACTTTATTATAAGGAGCAATTATTTTAATGGTTGATTTTGCTATTCTCCAATTCAAGGCGTTTTTCTCTCAATTTACTTTGAGTAGTGAGAATCGATTTTTATTATCTCCTGTGTCAAGTCCCGTATAGTGGCCAAATGGGGGGTGAATCCGGATTTGCGCACTTTCCGGTAACCGATTTCAATGAAACTTCGTAATTATATGTAATTCCAAGTACTTTTGACGTCGGTTTTTTTAGTACTCTGTACTGAGATTATTCTTCAACACAAAACATACAACCTTGAAGATAAAACAATTGCTTAAATGTTTGACGGCCTCTGTGGTCGAGTGGCTTGCACACCGGTTTTCATGGTGTCGCCATCTCTGAGGTCCCGGGTCGATCCCCGGCCGGGTCACGTTTCTATATTGTCTCGGTTCTGGGTTTTTGTGGTACCGTCGTTGTTCCCGGTTCCCATAACACAAGTGCTTTAGCTTTTTACTTTGGGATCAGAGCAACGTAGTGATGTCTGATATTTATTTAAATTATTTATTTATTTATATCGAATTAAAGGCAATTTGCTGGTGTTCAAGCTTCACCTGTCAAGTATTCGTCTCAGGACACACCGTAGCATGTAGAGACACCAATAACACAAACTTGCAAAACTGACTATAATTTGTGCCCTTTAGTTCTATCATAAGTTATTTTTATAACTGGTGTGGTTGTTTAGCACTTTATTATATTATTATCGCTCCACAAGATAACCTCTTTACAACTTACGCAACAGGGTGGCCAGAATGGTCAACAAGACCCGTATGACTTCTCATCGGACGAAGAAGCCGCGCCCGTACTGCGAGCCGCACACGCCTCCCAACCAGACACTACGCGAACTATGCGCTCGCAGACCACTACCATTGAGGCCAGCAGGTATTGTAACAATTGACATTTCGACCCCTCTTATGCAAAGTATGGTATGTCGAAATTGCCTGGAAAGTGACAGGTGACAGCACGAACAAGTTATACACCTGGTGTTAAGCGACGCGCTTGTCCATAGCAATTACAGTGCCACTCAGAGCTATAAATCGCACTGCCACTGCGCCCGTCACCTTTGAGTCGTAAGTTGTCAAGTCCTATTTGCTTCTAATTACTAAATTTAACGCTGTAATGCCCACATTACTGCTTGGCGGCATTAATAGGTAAGGCGGCACTTCCCTCGACGAACCCATTCACGAGGAAGTCGACTGTTACTTAAAGTATTGCTAATTTAGAAATAAGCCATAGGTCCATGCCGCTATAGAGGTTTGAACCGTCTTCAACTTGTTTCCACAGGTTGACACAGTTCAAGCAATCGCTGCAACAAGTGTTCCGCGATGAGCGCGCCAACTCCCTGCCTCTGGACCGAATTACCTCACACGTCAACGAGCAGTTCTCCCACGAGCCATTCACCAGCGGGGAAATCCAAGCTGCGCTGCACAAGATGACGCAGGACAACCAGGTCATGCAGGCGGACGATATTGTATTCCTTATTTAGAAATATAGGTATATTTCTATGTTCGCTTTCCAGTTAAAGAGAAAGTCGCTTTATAGATTTTTTAGATACAAAATAACAATAAATTGTTGCTACTCTTGTAGTTACTTCCAGATTTGTCTCGATTAATAAAAGAATCAGTCGCAATTCCCGCTGAATTGAACGACGTAACCAACATTGTTTGACCTATCTATTAAGATTAATAACCACCATATCGTATACCATTGATATCTCGGATACTGCTAAAGTTTTAATGGGATTCAGAAAAATAAGGATCGTATTACGTTGTTGCAGAACGGAATGGAAGCTATTTTTTGTAACAATAACATAGTGAACTTTGTATCAGTTGTGAAACGTTAATAGATATATTGTAGCACTAGACCTCCTTGTGAGAGTTCGTACAGAAAAATACTGCCAATTTACCTATTTCTGCAGCAGCAGTAATATGAGCATTACTGCGTTCCGGTTTTGTAAGGTAAGGGTGCTGGTAAAATTACAGGCACATGGAACTTGTCAACTTATGTCTCAGGGTGACGGGCGCAGTGGCAGTGCCCCTCAGATCTGCGATTTAAAGCCCTGAGTGGCACTGCAACTGTTACAGACAGGCGTGTCGCTTACCACACCGGGCGCACAAGGTGTCCGTCATATCATAAAAAAAGACGAGCCAAAAAACCAGGTCGCGCGTTTTCCGGAGAATTCTCGCGCAGTCTCGAAAATTCCCGCACTTACAATATTGTATGTTATACAATTCAACAAGATCATTATGCCATGTACAATTTCGTTACAAATATTAGCGTCCAGTCCCTTCTGCGGCAATCTAAATTGAGTCTAAGCGTCTCCTTAATATTGTATAACAATACCAATTGTTTAAGTTGAATTTGATTTGTTTTTTTTTATAGTGATGTTAATTGAATAATCTCTTACTGTTAAGTTACTTAAGTTACTGTTAAGGCATCATCATTTGAATAAAAAAAAATAAGTTACAAATATTAACGTCGTTTATTTATTGCGTCTTTCCCCACCACGTTGATTACCCTGGTACTTATTTTTAAATTTCTTATTTTGATTTATCTTGTATGTTTTCTTAGATTTATCAATATCGGTCCGGGCACTTTTCTTAAATCTGTTATCTTTATTTCTGTTATTATTTTTAAATTTATCTTGATTTCCCTTGTTATTTTTATTAAATTTTCTACCTACATGGTTCTGTTTGTTAAATTTCTTATCTTGACTATTCTGATACTTTTTCTTTGTTTTTTTATCTAGTCTCATTTTCTTGAATCCCCGTGGATTGTTTGTGTTGTCGTCGTCACTTTTTCGCTTTCTTGGGTTTTCTGTGAACAGGTCGTGTTCTGGCTCGGCGCCGACTTCCTTTCTATAATATTCCGCGTCGTCGTCCTCTTGGTCATTGTCTTCAACTGTATGCTGTGATTCTGCCGCAGCAAGTTCCATCAACCTTAAAACAGACAAATCTTAATGAAGATGAATTTGGTTTTTTAGTTTAGTTTTTGCAGTGACTATTTCTTTTTGGCCTCGAGGATTTGGAATTCCGATTTAAGATTAGGTAGGATTCAAATCATTATGTAATATAAATCGCCATCTCACTATTGGACACAGTTACTCTTACGACAGGGTCAAGACCGTAATCCGCAACTGTGGCTCAATGCGGGTTGGGAAGTTCCATGGAAGTTCACATGTTTTCCACCGGCTCATCACGATGTTTTCCTTTATCGTTAACGAGATGTATTGCTCCTAAACATTAACAAATGTATGTAACTTATTAAAGTCATAGGTATACGTTGCCACAGAATCGAACTATCGGCCTCTCATTTGAGAAGTAATCATTTTCCTACTGGGCTGTATGTGAACTAATTACCAAAGAGTTCCTTATACTTAATGAGTATAGGGTCATCAGCTCATAAGACCCTTGCAGGCTGATTTTAATTCAAAACCGAATCAATCCGATCGGGTAGCCCAACCGAGTCTCGCAATCAGGGGCCTTACCATGACCTCTTATTGCGATTCAACTTTGAACCTAAACAAGTCCGGTTCGCTTATTCGTACCGTGACGTCCTAAAAACGATCATGTCAAAAGCATTTACGCCAAGACCAAACCAAATCCTAAATAGATTCGTAACTCCTTTGAAATCTTTAACATTCATTCATTTTTCGTACCATGACGTGCTATTTGACATTAGTTGATACGATGTTGGTTCGCAGTAATGTAATAAAATTCCGTTCAAAAAAAGTTTTATTCTATTTCCTTAATGGTGGTGACTAGGCTTGGGCCAGTGACAGGGGGGTCTACTCTCGATCTACGTCCGAAACAATTACTGCCAAATAAGCAATACTTGACCAAATGAAAAGACGCGTGATGCGAATGAAGCTTTATACTAGCTCATGGTACGAATTTTAACGATTCAATTTAGGATCCTAAATTGAACTGCTTCGTTAATGAAGTTTTAGTAAAGTTCATGGTAAGGCCCCAGATGGGTTTCCGAGCGAGAAGATGAACCTAATTCCTACTATGTGTAGTATTCTTGAACTCTACTCAATGGTCAAGTCAGGACTTGAGTATGATTCAAAGCACTAGAAATCATACTCAAGTCCTTGCCATTAGGGTCGTATTTCCAGTGCTTGAAATCATACTCAAGTCCTGACTTGAGCATTGAGTGGAGTTCTGGAATACGACCCTATATCTTTCTAATTTGTGAGTTAAATCAACTATTGTTCCGATTTGAAATGTCAAAAGTTTCCGATCGGCCAGTTGTGAATTGCAATTATTCGCCTCGACTCGGAAGAGACGCAGTTTCCGATCGGGAGAGACAATCAAAATGAAGCTGCTGGTGGCTAACGCGGGTAGTATTTTTCCTTTCCTATACATACACATTATCTCCAAATTCATGCTTTCGTCTGGCTTTCTGGGTTCATGTTATTATTTAAATAATAGGGGTTAAAGTATGAAATTGCCGATTTGTACTGAAAATCTAAATTGTTTATTTTTTAAATTTTTAACAAATTTATTTAATCAAAATAGTTGCCATTATTATCTATACATTGCTGCCATCTAATGGGAAGGTTATTAATGCCTTTGCGATAGAACTCCGACGATCTAGACTGCACAAACTGTGTGAAAGCATTTTGTACTGCCTCCTGGGAAGAAAACTTCTTGTCACGTAGATAATTGTCCAAATCACGAAAAAAATGGTAGTCCGTTGGAGCAAGGTCTGGTGAATACGGAGGATGACGAATGGTTTCTAACTGCAGTTCCTGAAGGGTCAAAATGGTTTCTCGTGCTGTGTGAGGTCTCGCGTTGTCGTGGAGCAATAATGGTGAAGATCGATTCATGAGTCGGGGCTGTTTTACTGCTAGTTTTGTCAACATGGTTCGGAGTTCGGCACAATAGACATCTGCCGTTATTGCTTGACCAGATCGGAGAAAACTATAGTGAATAACACCATGCTGAGACCACCAAACAGTTACCATTACCTTTTTATTGGTAAGTTTTGCTTTAGGACACTGTTGTGGCATTTGACCTGGGGTCAGCCATTGCATTTTTCTTTTCCGGTTATCATAAAGAATCCACTTTTCATCACATGTTACAATTCGATCCAATATTCCTTCATTTCTGTACCGGTTCAACAAGGCAACACAAGTTTCAACACGCGTTTCTTTCTGCAGATCAGTCAAATCATGAGGCACCCATTTTTCGTATTTTTTTATTTTATTGATTTGACGCAAGTGAGTCAATATTGTGGGTAAGGTAACGTTAAACCATGCCGCTAATTCCTGGGTAGTTTGACTAGGATCGGCTTCCACTATCTCTCTTAATTCATCGTTATTCACCTGTGTGGGCGGTCTTCCTCGTGGCTCGTTCTTTAAGTCGAAATTTCCATCACGAAAGCGTTTAAACCAAAATCGCACGGTGCGTTCATTAGTAGACCCCTCTCCAAACGCAGCATTGATATTGCGGGCTGTTTCTGCCGCGTTAGTTCCGCGTCGGAACTCGTATTCAAAAATCACTCGAATTTTCGCAGTATCCATCTTTCTTGTCTAAATTGAATAACAAAAACAATTGAAAGTCGATATTCAAATGCTTCAAATTAAAAAAAAAAAATCACAGAAACCATTTGAAAAAAGTTTCATTCGAAAACCTCAAACCATGAAGATTCTATGAAAATTCAAAGAACCTATTGCAATAAAACGGCAATTTCATACTTTAACCCCTAATATGTTTTGAAGTTAATACACTGATTTATGAAATATATTTCAGGACTGAAAAATTATCTAAACATTGTATGGCAAACAAAAAGAGATACCAGCGTTATCCGTTATTTAACGACGCACCTCTTTCTGGAAGTACAAAGCAAAATGTACGTAGTGATTAGACCGTGCTAACTACCTGAAGTGCACAAAATTATTAAAATCTACATAAATACCCATTGACATACAAATAAATGGACGACGGGTCTAATACAAAAACCACGAAAAAAATGTCCCAAGTCAACCTATTTAAACGTAGTGATATGTAAAGGAATATGAAAAAGCTAAAACGTTGAATTTAAATTGTAATGTCATCGCAGTACTGTCTACTTTTGCTTGCTTCGCTGTCAGTCGAACAAACGAAGACTAAAGCGTGAATGACGCTCTGTATACGATTTTAACGCCCTATAAGTTCGGTCACTTTTTACCGCGGACCCGACGTCCATATAATTGTAAGTCAATGTAAATACCAGTCAATTTAACCGCTCACGCTTGAATTACCTTTGAGCTTCTGTTTGTTCTTTCTTCTTTTTGATGCCCTCCAATGCCTTCTGCTTCAGCTCTTCCTTCTCACGTTCTTTGCGTTTGATGTTCTCATCTTGTTGTGCCTTACGTTTCTCTTTTAGACGCCTGTGAATAAAACATTACACATTGTATTGAAGTTTATTATTGGTATAGCCACTTCTGGGCTTAGTCTAAACTAGCCACCCTTTAAATTTTATTAGTATTTCCACTCTTTCTGTCAAAACTAGAAAGTCAATCTAACATTCAGCATACAATGAGAAATCTTGTACATTGTCTTAACTTCTTCCTGAACCTCATTTTTTAAGTCCTGCACTAGGGAAACCCTGTGTCGCGAGTGCCATGGACACACGTAGTCAACCACAAATTACACCCAAACTTACGAGAGAAATAAATGTAGGCCATACAAATATTTCTCCCGGCCCCGGAATCGAATCCGGGACCTCTGCATGGCAGACCAGCATGGTAACCGTTCGGTCCCAGAGGCAGTTTCAAATTAAACATCTAGTGGTGTCCGAAAACCACAGGATTTGACATTTCGCTCTAAATGTCAATTTGGTTATGATGGTTGACGGATAGCTCCACGCCTTAAGCCGGAGTTACATTTATCCGATGTATCGTGTCATGACGCGTCAGAATGGTATGGGTGTTATAATTTTTTAATATGGTTACATTTATATTACAATCTGACGTGACCGCTTGTGTTGTGTGTATGAAACCGATACCGTTCTGACACATCACGACACGATACGTCAGACGACAAATGTCAATCCGGCTTTAGTAGTCTCTTATGACTTCCGATGTGTGTTCCCGTGTATTAAAATCTTTTGTTCCTGACGCCGGGAACTCCATTTTACGTGAATCATAAGCGGAGGCACCACCTGGCATTGCGAAAATAATTCAACTTCGAAAGGCATACATCGTTTAACTACCTCTGTGGCCGAACGGTTACCATGCCGGATTGCCACGCAGAGGTCCCAGGTTCGATTCCCGGGCCGGAAGAAATATTTGTATGACCTACATTTGTTTCTCTCGTGAGTTTGGGTGTAAATTGTGCTTGTCTATATGTGTGTCCATGGCACCCGCGACACAGGGTTTCCCTAGTGCGGGGCTATATTGAGTGTGTGTGTTATTATTATTATTATTATTATCGTAACCAAAATTCGTACCGCTTTTCTTGTCTCTTCTTTTTGATAAGAGCTTTCTCTTCTTCTGTTTTCTCAACTAATTCATGGAACAGCACTTCGCCGTCCATCAAACCGTCTTCCACCTGAAACATTTTTATTTAACACACGAATGCATCTAAAAGTCTTAATTAATTATATTTTACTGTATATTATTCATTATTGTCCTTTATTATAAATTGGTTTTAATTAATTGTTGTTCATTTTCAATAATAATAATTATTATTCCGTACCTGAGAAGCATTTCACTGTAAGCGCCATTTTTGTAATTTTACGAGGGAAGCGAGTTTATTGGGTAGCTCGAAATGTTATTAAAACTCAATTAGTTTTATTTCAAGCCATTCTAAATATTGTACATGCTGCATTTCGATACAAAATCGCGTCCCCTGTAAAATTACAAAAATAGCACTTATAGTGTAATGCTTCTCAGGTACGGATTTAGTTATAATATTATGTTATGTGATTGATTACGATATGGAATGCTACACTATTGTATTAAGATGGTCCTGTAAAAATAGATGTATGTATCAAATATTCTATATGATTATATATTAATAATATTAATATATTCCGCTATACACGATCGAACGCGCACATCACTTACACAGGATTTAAATTTTTATTGAATTGATATTCAATTATTTTTTATGTTAAATTACTCCACTAGTTTGTTATAATTATTAACACAAAGATCGAACAATCAGAATGAATGTATTGATTGATTGAATTGACATGAATTTTTCTATGTAAACACATATTAATAACGGAATTATATGTGTTTGCGTAGAAAAATTCATGAGGTTCGCTGGTTCCGTGACTTAGTGACAGTATGCTAGAAGACGTCGTTGACGTTGACGTAAACAACAACTTTTGCTCCATAACTTTTAATAATTTATCAGATTTTACCTTCGTACAAAAATAAAAAATTAATAAACTCTGTGGAGTAACAAAAGCGTGTCTTATTCCAGCGTGATCATAGTCGAGTTTTTGAAATTTGACTAGCCACAAAAAGTCGCAAAAAACTAGATTTCATGGTCCGCCGTCCAAAAGTTATAAGAGTGTTTAACTGTCCACACTGGAATAAGCTTATTCCAGCGGCACCATTTCTCAATCTCGAGAACCACAACACCTAGCTTAGATATGATTACACTAAAAAAGAGTCGTGATTTAATCGGTTCTAGTGGTAAAAAACTAATTTTAGTCCTTACGCCGTTTTGAAGTTATGGTTTATTATATTTATAACTGCCTCCGTGGCCGAACGGTTACCACGCCGAACTGCCACGCAGAGGTCCCAGGTTCGATTCCCGGGTCGGGAGAAATATTTGTATGGCCTACATTTATTTCTCTCGTGAGTTTGGGTGTAATTTGTGGTTTTCTATGTGTGTGTCCATGGCACCTGCGACACAGGGTTTTCCCTAGTGCGGGGTTATGTTGAGTGTGTGCGTTAAAGAATGAAGTCAAAAAAAAAAAAAAAAAAAATTTATTTGTATTAGTAACAAAAACTTAAAAGTTTATTTTTGATAAATTTAGTATGTTTTGTAAAAGTAATGGAACAAAGTTTGTCGTTTATAATGTTAGTAATATAATAATGCGATGTTGGTAATATTTTTTTATTTTTGTAATATCAATATTTATCGGGCAAACGTTACTGACCAAGGCCAGCTAGAAATACTCTAGAGTTCAGAGGTCAATGCACTATGCGAGTTTGTGCACTCCGACATTTGTTCAGACTTCGAGATTGAGGTCATACAAATCTAGAGAACTCGGACCGACTTCAGATGTCGCTTGTGCACTAAGACCGATTCGGAACCAAAAAATACGAATATCGCTTGTACACCTAGAGTTAAAATGATTTCTGTGATATTTAGGACCGTCATTTGTCGGTTTCAGAGCTACGAATCGGAAGTATGCAAACCATCGAGTATATAACCAGATATAGAGACGAAATAAGGGCCATATATTCCTGGTAACACATTAGTGATACAGCTCTTATAAATATCAGCTCTCGTTTGCACTGAAATATAGACAGGCCAACTACTGACCTGTGTGTACGTCTCCGTATATTCCGAAAAATATTCTGTATTTATTGTAATAAAGATAATTCGGTGGTGTGGAAAAAGAAGCAAAACATCTAATTACAAAACAAACGGAATCACATTTCATCGGTAATTAAATATGAAATTTTGCAATTTTCGTCCAATAGCATAGCTCAAGTTAACTGGTCGATTTGAAGCGAAACAGTTGACGACGCCCATTGACGACACCCGTCAATTGTTTCGAACTCGGACTAGCCAATCGGAGCGCAGTTGTTACAGAATGATATGGCAGAATAGTTTTCAAACAAATAAAATGACATTTCGTCTCTATTCCTGGTTATATACTCGATGATGCAAACGCTTCAAATACGTAAATTTAACTATCGCGTATGCTTTAAGATTTTAATTTAAACCTTATAAGTATATAATTTAGATCTAAATAAAAATCTTAACGCAAACGAGGTATTCACTACAACTATACACATGAGAGAATAAAAAAAGTAACGAAAATGGACACTCTCCCTAGCTTTAGATACCGCACCGCACCCCGCACATTGACGGTCACATTGACTGAACGACAACAAAGCTGTCGGCGAGCCGTTTTCCCGCTAACACGGCTTTGATATTTGAATATAGTTTTCATTTGTCTATATAACATCATTACACGTTACTATTTATAATGGTCGTGAATTGTGCTGTATACGGCTGTTTGTCATCATCAATACGGGATAAAGAGAGAAGTTTCTTTCGTTTTCCGATAGATGAAAATAACTTATGTCTGAGACTCATTCAGTTATTATTTTCTTCATTTATTTAATGCAGAGTAATATATAATACAGATATATAATGAGACGCCATAAGTGACCTAGTAGATAAGGGTCTACGAATTTTCAATTTGTGATGCCGAAAAATGTTATGTAGTGAATATGCCTAATTATTAACTAGGTAACCTTGGACACGCAATTCCAAACATCTTGGTTACCCTATTTAAAAATACCTGTCCAAAATATATAATTTTAAGTGATTTTAATATATTTTTAAATAAATCTTCAATATTATTCTTCATTATATATGAGTTAATGAAAAATATAATATTGTATCGATATAAATACCCAATGAACACACATTTGCGCCTGTGCAGATAGCGCCTAACTGTTTGTAGTAGTAGGTAAATAACTTTCGATCGTTATATGAACTGTCCGGGATGTGGTACACATTTCTCGCTATTGTCTACTTGCCATAAAGCCACAGACAAACATTTCTGAGCGAGTTTGACAAAACATTATCAAAAACATCTCACCTTAATCAACTGCATAGAAATCCTCGGGCCAAGTTCAGACAATCTTATAGCTGACTTGGATTCAGCTGCAGCGCCTCTCGACGCAAGACTCTGAGGTAACACCACTTGTGCGTTTGGATCGTCTTCGAACTCGCTTTCTGACAGTAATCCAGCCCTGAGATGGTAGAATAAATTAGTTCATCCGGTCTAAGCAGACGGGTTTTTTGGTCGAAACATTTACCAATGGCACTTGAGCAACTTGTCTACCTTTTGCACTAAACCTTTATGCAATTCACTTTGATTTAAACTTTCACGAATTTCTCACATTTGATTTTTAGTTCGGGACTAATAACCATAATTTCAGCCGAGAAGACGGTTTCAAGCTTTCATCGTCGTGGGATCCAGTCATCAGCAAATGTAAGCGACATCAAGTATCGCCCGACAAGTCGCCGGATGTCGTGAGTGCTGGGTATCGGTCTAGTGTCAACCCTAGTGCACAAATAAGTAATGAAAACCAAACGCGTGTAGTTAGAAAAATTCGAAGATGCTGACATCCGCCTCTTCAGTCAGTTTGAGACCATAGACGTTGCAATACGTCCGAAACGTCGAGGTAATTAAAATATATCTTATACATGATTAAATCCCAAACTAAAAATCAAATAATTTATGCAATTTAAAAAAATATAATAACTAAGCAATATAATTAAATTAATTATGTTTAATAAAAAACACTTACTTGTCAAAGAATTCAGATATATCTTTACACTTGTTTAAATTAGGTATTTTGCCTTGCACCATCTGAAACAAACGTTTGTTTATTACTAAAATTTCAATTGTAAATAGATTCAATTAAACATAGTGTTCAATTTACGGATACATGAATCGTGATTCATTGGTAAAAATAAAAGTACTGGATTTACTATTATAGTCTGTTCTAATCCATTTTGAACAAAAACTAAACAAAACCGTTTGGTAAAATTTCTAAAGCAATCGCGCAATAAATCGAATGAGTAACACTTTCACATATATTTTAAAGATTACGACTTGATATATCATCACTTTTTCCAACAATATCCATTTGAATAGCATTGTTAAATCGTATTTGAAAAATGGTAGTCCCAAAGTGAGGTTATTTTTCATCTATACGTCTATGACTAGTCTATGGTTGCATAGTGCTGTACGAAAAAAAACATACGGTTAATTCAATTAGTTTTTGTAATCGATTAGTAAATCGATTATTTCAATCGCAATCGAACGAGTATCTAAGTGTAACGATTTGAAGGAGGAATTAAAATTTCAAATTTCGGGAAATTTAAATATTAGGGACTAGGGAAACCCTGTGTCACGAATGCCATGGACACACACATAGACAACCACAAATTACACCCAAACTCGCGAGATAAATAAATGTAGGCCATACAAATATTTCTCCCGGCCCGGGAATCGAACCTGGGACCTCTGCGTGGCAGTCCGGCATGGTAACCGTTCGACTACGGAGGCAGTTAAGTTATAGTTAAGCTTATATAACAAATCGATTCATTCAATTAATTAATCGATTTGTAGTTGGCGTTACAATTGGCCGTCACGAAACCGTCTATGGTCGGGTCAGTGACTTGTTTGTTTACATTTTGTTCAAAATGGATTGAAACGAAGTATATATTACTACATTATTTATTACAGACGAACCAGTTCGTGTAAAAAGTTCAACGTCTTCACATGCCGTCGTCCTCATAAGTGATACTTGAATCTCAGTCTGTAGTTCAGACTAGAGATGTGTGGCGATCGTAAACTCGTTGTTTTTTTTGTTTTGATTTTTTTTTCGCACTTGAAAATTATACGCCACAACGAGTTTACGATCGTCTCACGTTCGGAGTTGAACCCAGATCTTTTCGATATTTAACCGAATCGTTCGATTGGATATCGTTCTCGAATCGAAGGGCGGTTGCTCGAGATATTCAGAACATTCGAATTAAATAACCAGAAATAGAGACCAAATAAGGGCCATATATTCCTGGTAACACATTAGCGATACAGCTCTTATAAATATCAACTCTCGTTTGCACTGAAATATAGACAGGCCAACTACTGACCTGTGTACGTCTCCGTATATTTCGAAAAATATTCTGTATTTATTGTAATAAAGATAACATCTTTAACAATGCCGTGCTGTTCTATTCGGTGGTGTGCGAAAAACAACAAAACATCTAATTACAAAACAAACGGAATCAATTAATTTTTTTATTTATTTATATTTTTTGTGAAATTACTCCACTAGTTTGTTATAATTATTAATACATTGGTTTTCAACGACTAAAAAGTCGTTGAAAACCAAGTACAAAGACACGACGCAAGCACATAGAAGAATTCGTGAGGTCCGTTGGTTCGTTCCGTGGCTTAGTTGGTATAGCGTCTGGCACGGTATGCAAGACGACGTCGGTTCGAATCCGACCGGATCGAAGGAATTTTTTCTGAGTGTTTTTCTGAGTGTTCGATCTTTGTATTAATAATTATAACAAACGGAATCAAATTTCATCGGTAATTAAATATGTAATTTTGCAATTAACGTCCATTATAGCAGAGCTCAAGTTAAATGGTCGATTTGAAGTGAAACAGTTGACGACACCCATTGACGTCACCCGTCAATTGTTTCGAATTCCGGCTGGCCAATCGGAGCGCAGTTGTCGCAGTAATGATATGGCAGAATAGTTTTCAAACAAATTAAATGACATTTCGTCTCTATTTCTGGTTATATACTCGATGCAATATCGTTATCAAACAGCGTTTACGGAATTAGTCGGTGAAATATATTATTATAAGAAAAATGAAAATCTAAAATATAGGAATGCATTAATCTTGTATTAAAATAAATTAATAAAATTGAACCAAACCCAGACTTTATTTAAAATAATAAGAGATTTCCATATTCATTCTTGCTTTGTAAACAATAGGACGTTCGGTAACTTTCATTCGATCACTGCGTTCTAATTAACGTCTCTGATCAGGTAAGGCTCTGAATCGATTCCCAGAGCAGGCCGAAACCACAGCGTTCTACTTGCTATAATCCTGACACACCAATATGACGACTTCGATGGCACTGTGGGCGCTGCCTTTGGACGAGGAAGTCCCACGTTAGATTAAATCAGAAACGCACAGTCATTTTCGCTCTTATTAGATTGATATAAAGATTCTTCTGGCGGCTTTATGCGATTCCGTATCGATAAGTATGGTGAGTTTATTAATGTTGTAATTACCTTCTTAGTGCCCTTATTAAGTCCAACTGGCGTAGTTCTGATGACGTAATGTCGCATGTCTATCAGTTTAGTCGCGGGGTTATAGTTCATAAGCACACAGCGACGGATGTTCTTTAGCTTCACCTGAAAATTTAAAAAAATCAAATCTGTGTTAACAATAAATAAATAAAGGCTTAATTCTATTGTGTTATTTCTTGGTGTGCAAAACGCTGTGGTAACCTAATAGTATGACTTATCTCCTCTCAAACAAAGGCTGTGGGTTCGAATCCGGCCTCGCGACTATACTTATATATATATATATGAAAAGAAGAATTAATAAGATTTTTTTTCCTGCAGACCAAAATGCAGGACACAATAATTACAATAACGGGTACGTAGTCCGTGGTACGTGCACAACAAAACAAAATTAAATTATGTAACAAAATCGACTCATCCGAAGAACCAGAGTCCGATGTGACTATACAACGAAAAGAGGATAAATACATAATCTCGTTATTCCAAATAAGTAATAATTAGTAATAATTTACTTTGAAAGTAATCATTTAATTTTCGGTAATCGAAAGCATCGTGAGGAAACTTGTACGCCGAAGAAGGTTCATAACTCTCGGAAAATGTGTGAAGTCCCTAACCGACATCGGACCAGCGTGGCGGATTATGGCCTAAGAAACCCGTGCCCAGCTGTGGGACGTATAAATGGGTCTATTTGCAACAGTCTGCATTGAAATGCCTCTGACTTAACATAAACACTGTAGACCTTTAATCTTGATCATTATGTGCGAACTATAGCTACTACTAATTTGTGAGAGTGATAATTGAGGGGAGGTAGAAGGTAAAAGAAAAAGAGGAAGACTAAAAATGGGGTATAATCAGTGGCGGATTTGTCCTAAGGCAACCCGTGCCCGGGCCTAGGACGGCCAATCGTGACAAAAAATTCACTGATGATAACAAAAAATAACTCAAAGTATCTAAATATTTTAACGGCTCACGCACATTATGGCGGGCCGCATTCCTAAATCGCTTTCGTACATTTCGTTTATAAAATTTAGATATGTCTACCAGTAAGTATATGAGTGCTGAGAAAGGTACGACTGGCACTGACTACATGGCCTGGGGCCTAGCACGGCCAAGACTGCAAATCCGTCACTGCGTATAGTGAACAAATAAAAAAGAAGATCAAAGTGAACAGCTATAAAGAGGTGGGTATGAACCGTGAGGAATGGAGAAGGCTACACCGACAAGAGTCTGGCTCTTAAATAGGATGATAGCTACTAAGTATAGCGGACTATAACCTAAACCCTCGCCTAAGACGAGGCCCATGTCCAGCAATGAGATGTAAAAATAGGTTCATGATGAATTTCTTGATGTATCCACTCATCATCTCCAACTTTTAAAATGTCACTCGCTTGTTTCTTAGTTAATGGCTACAATAGCTTTATAACAATAGCAGAATTGATTTTATTACGTGAATCGCGGATAGCCATCCATTATCCGCGATTGAATCGCAAATAACAGGTTACACAACATTGTTGTCATGGTGTTGCCACTTTCGTTGTTGGCCCGTGAGTCGAAGATTACAGAAGTTACATTTTTGTCTGCGAAATTTACATTTTACACGTTCTTTAATTAAAAATTCCAACTGTAAATCTTAAAAATAATTCCTAAAAATAAGTAAAGTAAGTATGCTCAAGAAAAATCAATAACCAGTAATTTATTGATTTGATCTTGTTAGCACCATAATTAATGTATCCACTTTACTTTTTTGCCTAATTTAGGTGTATTTGTAAACTATTTAGGATTTAAAATAACAAACAGTTGGATTGCCTCAAAAGTTGCGAAAATTGCCTCAAAAACAAAAATTACTTACGTATGACGCGAGAAAATCACAAGTTACGAAAATGTAAGAAATGTAATCATCTGGCAACACTACACAATATTCAATCGCTATCGTTATCATATTGTATGCAAAACTACAAAGCATCAGAATAACAGGTTTTTTGACAACAGTTTACAATAACGATTGTTGAAAAATCGCATAACAGCACAATTAATTGAAATAAAAAGCAACAAACACATAGAAAGATTCGTAAGAATTGCTGGTTCGTTCAGTGGCTTATTTGGCAGAATGTCTGACTCGGATTGCTTGATTCGAATATTGCTGGCTGGTTCGAATACAGCTGGATCGAAAGAAATTTTCTTAGTGTTTGTTATAATAATTATTGGAGTAGTTTCTCAAAAAAAAATTGCAGATCATAGTACTAAAACATTGTGACATGTAATAAACCTAAAAGTATAATAATTGACAAACAGCCGTTTTGCCATGTCTACTTAATAACAATTAACGCGGAAAGCCTCCTCCAAGTACTGTCATTACCCAATACCCATATACCCAACCAGTCTTTCTTAGCTACTTTGGTGATATCATCAGTCCATGTGTATCTTGGCTGTCGAACTATACCTATGTCTTCCTTTAGTAACATACTTACAGTGGTAATATTAATAGTAGGAAATATGTTCTGGAACATAGAGGCCATGAGCTTCATGTGCATGCCTTCGCCAGAGAAGCTGTTGAGAACGATGAGTGGCGCGTGCTGGAAAGCTCGCATTATCACGTATTGCTTGCGGAGAGAAGACACGACGTCGCGTGCGAGACTGTACTGTGAAGAAGGAAGGAAATATTTAACATCAAAAAAGTTTACTATACTGCAAATTAAATTGTCACTGACTCTGTTGGCAAACTCGCCTAATAACTATAACGCCTAAGGTTTCCTGGTCATAGAACCTGATATTTTGCAGTCATTAAATATTTTTGTGTGTTGAGATTTCTTCACGAGCTCTTAGCAAGATTATTCTTCGTAAAATGATGATCTTAACATGCTTAGTGTTAACGATATTAAAAAGACTTGTTATGAATCAATATGTTATTAAACAATATTGCTAGTTGCGGTGCAAGACAGTGTATGCAAATACCTATTTTTGTTAATTAATTTGTAAATAATTGACGAACTACAATTTATCAAAGCTACTCCAATTTCTAGTGATAACAAACAAATCAACTAGATGAAGATGGCGCTTATTGCACAGATTTTTGTGGATACTGCCAGTCATTACTTTATTTTGTTTCGGATTAGCGCCATCTACCCATACGATCACTCCATAATAAATGATCGGCAGTATGGGTTTCGTCCGAAACGATCAACGGGTGACCTTCTAGCGTACTTATCGCATATTTGGGGTGAGGCTATAGACAAACGTGGCGAGTCGTTGGCTGTTAGCCTCGATATAGCCAAAGCATTCGATCGGGTCTGGCACAAGGCTCTTCTCTCCAAGCTCCCGCGGCGTACGGTTTGCCAGCCCAGTTATGCAGCTGGATTGCCGATTTCCTTCGTGAGCGGAGAATTCGCGTCGTTTCTGACGGCAGCATTTCGAGGTTCGTGAATGTGAACGCCGGCGTACCGCAGGGATCCGTCCTATCTCCCACGCTTTTCCTACTGCATATCAATGATATGCTTCCACTTGGGAATATTCATTGTTATGCAGATGATAGCACTGTTCATGGGGGATATCACGGATTCCCCGCAGCTGGGCGCGCCGATACTGACAGAGAGCGATCTAATCTTGTCGGTGAGCTCAATAGGATATTGGACCTCATCTCTGCATGGGGATCTAGAAATCTTGTTGAGTTCAACGCCAAGAAAACACAGGTTTGCGCTTTAACAACAAAATTGTCGCCGTTCCTTCCCATGCCTTCTCTGATGAGCACAGCACTCTCACCTCAGAGCAGTTTTACCTTGCTCGGTATGGAAATCTGCTGTGATTTGAATCCAAGGAGCTACATCGAATCTGTGATCAAAACAGCCTCACGGAAACTCGGAGTCCTGAACAAGGTGCGACGTTTTTTCACGCCGGACCAGTTATGCCTGCTGTACAAAACACAGGTCCGGTCTTGCGTTGAGTATTGTTCGCACTTGTGGAACGGCTCCGCCAAGTACCTACTCGATGCCTTGGATAAATTACAGCGTCGTGCTACTCGAATTATAGGCGACGAAGAGGTCTCATCACGCCTTGAACCTCTGCAACTGCGTAGAGATGTTGCATCGCTTAGCGCCTTTTACCGCATGTACCATGGTGAGTGCTCTGAAGAGCTGTTCAACCTCATCCCTCCTTCCCCGTTCCTGCTCAGAAGCACGCGTGCTGGCCTTCGTAGTCACCGTTTCACTACCTGCCGAATTCCATCGCGTACTAAAAGGTTCGGTGGCTCCTTTCTCTGCCGCACGGTTGACAAATGGAACTCCCTTCCGGCACATGTCTTCCCTCCCTCTTATGATATGGGGTCCTTCAAACGAGGCGTGAAGAGGCATATTGTAGGCAGGCAGGGTGGAGGTGGCTAGTGCAGTGAGGATTTCATCGCTGCACTAGGTTCCTTCGCGTTTGGATACCACTTTCCACTTAACATCAGGTGGAGTGGAGTCATTTGCCTGTCATGTATAAAAAAAAAAAAAAAAAAAATACCAGCAAGTGTTAATTTATAAATTAGTTAAGGCACAATGCCATCGATTGAGTCATATATTTGTCAACTGACAACATAGATTTCATAATTTGAAGATGAAATAATTGATATCCACAGCCATTTACTTCTTCTTTTTGCTTAATGGTGCTACCCTTTAGATTTCGCTAATGTTAAGTTTTCCGCGTAGTCATTTTAAGGGCTTCTGTTGACTCTGCTATTCAGTGAGTATTGTGAGAACGCAATGTGATATAAAAAGTACTTTCTTATATTATAAATACTTCAAGGCTACTGATCAGCCAGCCCCATCTACGTATAAGATGGAATTTTGATTTTTTTCAGAGTTATGATCTGTAGTATAGAGATTAGCAGTTGTCTTGAGTTATGGATCCATGATTACAACATAAGGAATAAAAATACTGTACTAACATTATGTAGCCTGAAGGTAAGCGTAGGACCTCTGGGTAGCCGCGCCAGACGCATGTAGGTGCCCAGCTCTGTCTCGGTGAACAGCATCATGTGTGACACATGCAAGTACCCTGACACTGATACAAAGTCTTTTATAGTGTTCTTCTTACGCTCCTGAAAACAAATTGACCATATTTTATCATTCTTGAGGAGAAATTTCATGTATTTCAATTGTAATCTTATGTTGTAAAGCGCCGAACATGCGGTGACCAGTTCAAGAACTTTTGCAACTTTAGTTTGGTTGAGTTCACTTATTTGACAGTAATTGTTTTGGACGGATGTCAAATGGAAAGAGTATGTAAACCAGCTGCCCCTTTCTCAGCACTCATATACCTACTGGTAGACATATTTATATTATATAAATAAAATGTACGAAAGTGATTTAGGAAGAATATTGTTATACGATGCGGTGCAATGCAGCCCACCATATTGTGCGTAAGCATTTAAAATATTTAGGGACTTATTTCTTGTTGCCACCAGTTAATTTTTTGTCACGATTGGCCGCCCCAAAAATCCGGCCGCCCGGGAAGAGGGTGGCCTAAGGGTAAATCCGCCACTGCTAACATGTAAATGATTGTGAAATGACAAATGAAAAATTAGTTAAATGCTTAACTCAATGGACATAATGGAATGAATGTTGAAAATCAATCTGAAATATGTTTTTCATATCTGAACAAACACTCAGGATAGTAATGACGAAAGCTAGGGCGAATGGTGTGTAAAATCCTTGGAATATCCACGATATAGAGGTGGAACCCCAGCCCACGTCCGAAACTAACCTTCAATTGCGACGCGGTAAAAGGTTCCATAATCTTCCTGAAGTCCTTTGTAAGGTCGATGAGGTCCTTGCTACACTGCCCGCGATGTATAACGAACGAATGCGGCGCCTTCACCAAGTGCTCGGGCTCCAGAGCTTCTTTGCTCACTTTATTGCGTTTCACACACTTGCCTTTACGTTTACCCATGTTAAATTATCTTTTGGCCTATAATACAATATTTATTCTTGCAAATTATTTACTTTACTAATAAATATTTTGCATTTACGAGCAGTTTCACTTAGTTTCACTCACGAATTAAAAGTTGTCGCGAATGTAAATAAAACGTGAATTTTTAGGTTATAAAGATGCAGTGGTACTAGCGATGGACGAGCCGAGTTAACTCGAGTTACTCATATAACGACTCAACTCGAGTTACTTTTTCATGAACTCGAGCTAACTCGGTTGACCCGCCCCGCCCGCCGCCGAACCGAATCGCGTTCGTGTCGGTGATCTTCAGAGCACGCTCGAGTCGCGAGGGATGTGCGAGTTAGCAGTCATGTCAACTCGAGTTGAAACAAATACAACTCGTCTCATCGCCAAGTGGTACTATAAGAAGACGTACGAAGTCAGTGTGAACTCGATTGGATTTTGTGCTTCCTTGTCATTTACGATATTGTTAGAATGAGATAGATGTTATTATTGTGCTATTGTAGGCGAAAAGTTGTTCGCTGTTCACTCAACGGTGGTGGCACTTCATATCTTCACTTGTCTATTTGTATTCACTATTGGTTATTAACGTAGTGGTTAATATTTTCAGTGGCCAAATATATCAAATTCAAATAGCCATGTGAAGTACCACCACAGCAGACATCGTTTTTCGTTTATTTGACAGCAAATAGTGTATACGCTATGCACAAATGCAATGCACTTCCGACTTCATCAGCAGATTCCTGGAGTGAGGTAGGAAGGGTTACGGAAATAAAATGAAAACACTGCAAAACAAATCAAAACAGCTTTATTTCCTGCTGGTTCATTTGTAGATTTCCCATATTTGCACATGAAATACTACGCTATTCTTTGTCTAAGTCCCGTTTGATGCGCCCGAAGTTTTGTTCGCTAATTGATTGCAAAACCTTCGTGAGACTTCGTTACATATTGATATTTTATAAAGTAAAACATTATGAGAGCCGTTTACTTGCCTACCGGCTGGCGATTAAACAAAGAGTATGGTAGCTAAATCATAGGTTTATATTCCTTGATGACTATTCAGGGAATATGTGCCACTACCACGAGTCAACACGTTGGCAAGGTAACACGGAATAATGACTTAAAATTAAAATAATAATAATATGGGAACAGTTTACATAGTATAATTTGAGTTTCTCTATAACGCAAATAAGAAAACTACAATTTCGACTAAGGCTAAAATAGAAAACTCAACAGATAATTATTTATTGATTAAAATGGTGTCATTTTGCCATAAGTACATCAGAAACAACTCATGGTAGTGGTTCATTCTTGAATCTTAGGCGACATTCGTAAAGGTATTCTTTTCAATCACAAGAATTACATAATAATGGAAGTCTATGCAACCATTTAATAGCTAGAGACTACTTGTATCTGGTAATTCTCTTTCTACACAAAGTACTGTACTTAAAGCTGCCGCCCGAATGACGCCTAAAGTGAACACTGCATTTTATTATTTATCCTATGTAACAATGCGTGCTTTATTTGGTAGAATTATTAACGAGACGTAATTATCTAGCTAGCCGTTACGCACGTGGCATTTTAGGTAGCCGTTTGAAACGTTGCTTACCCTTGCTCAAATCAAAACAGTAGCCTAAAAAGTATTTAAAATGTAATATTTTCGCTCGAATTTGATCTATAGTATACATCAGATTTATTTTTATTTGTTGTATACGACATTAGATGAGCGAATGTTCAGTGCTTTGGTATCCACTATCGTCAAAACTTTAATAACTTGATCAATATGATGCCCTTAAAAAGAGAATAAGATATTAAATTGTCGCGGACGCCTACGTCAAGTTATACGAGGTTTGATTCGTAGTATGCAAGTTTGTGTGCAATCTTTATTTTCCATATTGGCAATTTATTATAATTTATTTGTGGTATGATGCATGAAACTACGAACGTCTAATTAGTAATAGATAATATTGACAGATTATATTATCAGAAAGCCCATTAGCCCAGTTATATAGAAAAATAGATTTTTCTTTAATTAATTGGCTCATCGCGGAAAGCAATTTAGGCACAAATTATTACCCTATGCTAAGGGCAAACAAGTACTTTGATAAAGGGCGTCGCAACGTTTTCCCAGCTATTATGTATGGCGCATCGTCTGCACCAAAAGTTAGGTCATCTTGAACCACAACCAAAATATACAGAACATCTTACTTACAAAGGTGCAATAGAAAAATACATAAATAAAAAAGAACAATATGAAACACAATGTTTCGAGGAACTAGAGGCGAATTCGATTTCATTTACAGTTTTCGAAGTCACAATTGAAATAAAAGAATGTTGTTTTTAATGAGATTTTATCTTGACACGTATGTATCGTTTAAACAAAAATGTTCAGTGACGTCTATAAATACAATACTAAATTTAATTAACTATCCAAAGTTTACTTTGAATTTTACCCATAACTTGGACAACATTACAATGTTGTACTTATTAGTAAAATCGTCAAAATTATATTTTAATGAAAATGCTTTAAAATGAATGTTGTTCGATTTGCTGTAGCTATAGCATTCGTGTCAACATAAAAAATAGTATACATGTAATACGAAGAATTTTAAGAATACAAAAAGCCCCTATTTTTATTCCTATTAAATTAACTATTTAACTATAGTCCATAGTCTATTTTCATTTAATCATAGTATTGCTGTTATGTAATATCCCATGACAAAATTATTGTTAACCTTTTAAGCGATTATGAGATCTTAGATTTAAAGATTTATTTACATATGAGACTGGCATTACCTCTGCAGGGGTCCTGGTCACCTGAGTTCATTTTTAACGCGACACTCAAGGCAATATATATATAATTTTTATATTAACAATATACAGCAAAGTTGTTCTCTGCAAGCAATGTGCATATAAAATAATCCTAAGATTATTCCATACGACTTATTCAAATGTCATTTTTGGCACAATGTTGTGCAAACACGACAAAAACAACACTAGGTACTGACTACTAATTTTCGATGAAATACACGAAATATTTGACCCGCGTTTGGGCAGTTTTGAAGTTAATATTTACTTACGAGCAATGGTTATACCGTAACGAATGGAGGGAGACGAAGTATGCAATACAAAAGGTGGTAGATCTAGAAAACCAATAAATTAAATAAAGGTTCTCGAAACAGATTTGTTTTGAGATATTACATATCAATTACAACATTATTATAATAACTTGTGTATGAGTGAAGAAGTTTAAAGTTTCAATGGATTCTACATATTGTATGTTTCGTACAGTTTATACATTATATGCAAAACCCGCGTTAGTATATTTTTTCAGTTTCTTTAAAATGATGTATTCTTGTGTAACTATAAACTTCTTGGAATAGTTTGTTTATTATATCTAAATTATTCTTATAATAGCGTATCTCGGAATATTTATATGGTTTTAAATACATAAACTGATAATTTGTAGTGAATTTCTGCATATAAGAAATTGACATTATACAGGTTTACTTTTAAATAAAACAACGATTTAGTTTATGATTATCAAAAATGACCACAACGATTATACAACTTCTCATACAAACTTGAACGAACTTGAACGACTATCAATACTTACCGTACCGGTTTCTTACCATAGTACGACTTTTTATTCTAACAATATTTTCGATATTTAGGCTTTAATTTCAAGTGCAGTTTCAAATTTTCACTACTACAGAGTTACGTAATATATGTATGTTTAACTTGGAAATAAACAGTTTTAAACTTTTTATTGAATTTTTAAAAATATTGATTGAATGAAATTAACGAATGAATGATATTGGTGTGTCGGGTACCAATAGTAACACTGTAAGAAGCCGAAACGATGGTAGCTGTTTTTACAGTAGTTAAAACTGCTAATAGCCGCTTACCGTCAACATGTGACCTAGGACAGTGTAATCAATCACTTTAAAATATCGACAAAGAATAAAAAGTCCCGCTGTGGTAAGTAACCAGTTACAACTGCAGAGTTTTCAAAATTAAGTTGTGTGTATTCCCAAATGTCATCGGACAAAATTGCTGCATGTATAAAAGCACTAACTGTATGACGTATTTATAATTTAATATGATATATTTGAGAAGTAAATATAATAAACAAACTACATGATGAGTACTCTATGAGAATTTTTATAACTAATCCCATAAAAGGGTAAAATTTGATGAGAATTTAAAAAATGGTATTACAAAGCATGAAGCAATGAGAATCGGTGTTATATGATCTTAAGTTATTAAATTGTTTAGTGCAAAAATTACAGGCACATAGTTTATAGAAAAACTCGAGAAGGAAATTTAGATTTTTTTTTTTCACCGAAAGATGTCATGGCCTGGATAATACTCTAATGAAGCCACACTATAAATGATGGCGCTTACCTATGAATCGCCCTTTAAAAACTTATAGACGTAAATTACAATTTTGACTCATTATTTACATATTTGTATAAAAAAATGGTTTCAAAGTACGGGATTCCCTGTACTATGATAACTAGAGTCGACGACAACTCCGGGGCACAACCAGGCTAGATCCAATTTAGAAAAGTTGTTTTCCAAATTGGTCGTGAACCCGGGATATTCTCATCTAACGCCTACAGCGTTATCTGCTGGAAGGTCATCGTAACTATGAAAACTTGGAATTCAGAATAGAAATATGTGAATAATTTTTCATCGTCAAAATTCTAAGTTATGCCAATTAGTGCTAAAGGAGTCGAAATTAATCAGGAACTCGAAAGAAATTGACAAGATTTTTTCATAAACTGAACTCATTCGATTGAAAGCGAAGCAAGATAACTTTGACGCGAAAATCCTGACGCACAATAATTAATTGCAATATTAGAAAGTACAAATTAAAAAGTACCATGAAGTTAACCGTGGAGCGATTTATAAAAGCTCTACTCATTCCGTACAAAGCATCACAAAAATACTTACAAAGAAATGTGTAGACATAACAGAATATATGTTAAAATCGAACACAAACCATCGATAAATGATTAACAAAATATGTTCAATATGCAAAAAATATGAAGATATTTGCTGCGACTGTCCGGCGAGGACACCGCGCGATTGCCGACGTCAGAGTCGTATAAAATCGACAGATACTTAGTTGGTGTGTATCGTTGTGTCCGAAACGCGTTTGGCTCGTTTAGTGCTGATCCATCTGAAAAGTAATATTAGGAGCAAATAAGTAGGATTATTATCTATTTTAGATTCTCTCCTCGGATCGGCATAAAAGATACAAGCGCAGGCCACATCGCGAACAAAGCAAGCTAACTTAGCTTAGCTCACGTAGTTGTAAGTCGATCCCGGATCCCTGCCACAAGAGCACCCGAGAAGGCCACCGTGGAGTTTTAGCCGGTAGAAGTCCGCATAAGGTATCCTAGAAGGATTGCCCCACGAAAAGAAAAGCTCACGTAGGTGCATGCAACCAACTATGCCAGCTAAGCTAGCTTAGGTCACGTAGTTGCATGCAAAGCTAAGTTAAGAAAATAGGTAGTAAGTAGTGATTATCGATACGCGCGGGAGTGAAGGGCAGCAGAAGGGCGACATATTTTGCATAGCTTAGCGGGATCGTTGGGTTAGTTTAGTTAGGCTTAGTTCGCGATGTGAACCGAAGTATGAAAGATGCCCAGGCTACGTGAGCTAAGCTTACTTCGCGGTGTGGTCTGAGCATAACTCAGGTCCAAGAACCGGCGAACGATTGTATCGCCTAGCACTATTTTTCAATTCTACAAGAAATACCCTGCACTGCGACCGACCCAATACCAGTAATTTAGGCGTATTCGCAAGAATAGTTGGTGTGTGGCAGTGTTGGGCAAAATTTAATTGTTCTGGCAATTAAAGATTGACAATTAATTAATTGTCAATTGCGAAACAGTTGCAAAATTGTTAGTTGCGGTTCTCGCAACTAACAATTGATCAATCGTTAATCGCAAATATCTACAATTAACAATTGATCAATTTTCAATCTTTTCAATGTTTTTGATTAACAATTAAAACTGACAATTATGATAAATTTATAGGGCATAGGGGGGTGAGTTAGGGCGTTGGTTATGGGGGCCCGGTTGGGTGCCCCGGTTGGGGGGCCCGGTTGGGGGCCCGGTTGGGGTCACGGTTGGGGGCCCGGTTATAGGCCCGGTTGGGAGCCCGGTAGGGGTCCTGGTTGGGGGGCCCTCTTGGGGGCCCTTCTTGGAGGCCCGATTGAGAGGCCCTGTTGGGGGCCCGGTTGGTAGCCCGGTTTGGGGGCCCGCTTGGGAGCCCGCTTTGGGGGCCCCAGTTGGCAGCCAGCAGGCCCCTTAATTGGCCCCTAGCTGGCCCCTAACCGGGCCCCCCAACCGGGTCCAAATAAGTACGATGTCTAATGTTCATAGAAAGTTCCATGAAAGCTACAGTAACTGCAGTATGTCTGCAGTTTCCTAAATTGGTCCTAGAATCGAAATCGGCACCTACTCGTCTAGCGTCTACAATGCAGATAGCACAAGATAGGTAAACCGTTCAAACTGACCTGTTCCTGTCCGTTGGTTTCCTGTGACTTCATGACGTCAGGCAGATCAGGCGGCGATGAGTACGGGGTAAGATCCAGGGCCTCGAATTCGCCATTTTCCTTCCTGTACAAAAATAACAAATAAATCGTCACAATAGTCTGTACTAGTTTATTCCTTATCTATCGACCCGAGAGATAGGGTATTCCGGAGAGACTACTACTAGGGCTGGTCGGTGAGACCAGGGTACAGCGGGCATCCGAACCTAGCCCTCCGTCATTGATACGCCTTCACGGGCGTGTGTGGCGGACCAAGAATTGGGTATGGACTCGCTGGGGTTTGTGGTTAGCTGTACGGATGAACACGTTCGTCTGTCCCGGTAGCATGTGGCCGGGGCGGTCACCCCGTGCGCAGCTAGCACGTCTTAGTAGCGGTCTAGACGAGAGCCTAAGGCGAAGAGACGCGCGAGACACGTGATTTGCCTTTTCAGTCGGAAGCTATGTCCGGACATGGTCGCAGGACAATGAAATCGGCATCTCCGGTCCTTGCCCGGAGAGCTAGTAGAGGGTAAGCTAGATATCATCCGGTCCCTCCAGCCACTTAGGCCATTGTGAACTGGAGAGACGCCGTTTTTCGGCGTCGGAAAGTGAGCGTGCTGTAGGCACGCTCCGGTACCTAACCGGAACATAGGGAGGGCACTGTACGTGCACCCGAGGCTGCTAACCTAGAGCAAACGAGCTGATCTTGGGTCAGGACTGAGTAGGGTCCTGTGTGGGCTTGCTCACACAGGTTATAGTGCCCTTCCCGTATAACCAAGAGTATGAGTAGAGAGAATTACGTAGGCTGCGGCCGGAGGTTCCAAAAAAAACCGAAATTAATTTAAATAATTTAATTTAAAAACGAAATACAATATAATACAAACTTATGTGGCTAACTATTCTAGTGTCCTAATCGAAGTATGATTATGGAATGCCCGTTTGTGGAGCTTGATTTGGCAATTGGCAATCGTGCTGGCTCAAGTCACGTTCCGCAGCGTAGGCGCCTCGTGAACTTGCGGATGTTTTCCACCAGAATGGGGTGAATGCAAAGTTGGCGATCTTCATAGCGGAGGGATGTGTAACAAGAGTATAAACAAAACTTATTTATTTATTTAAACTTAATTGCACACAAAACAGTACAAATGGCGGACTTAATGCCATAAGGCATTCTCTACCAGTCAACCGGAGAGCTGGGTTCAAAATAATTAACAGGAGTGCATAACATGAATTAAAACAGATAGGAAGAAGTTTATAAATAATTATGATATATAGTTTAAACACGATATAAATATAGTATTATATGACTAACTATACTTATATAAGCAACCTATATACACTTAAATACATAATATATAATACATACACATATATATTTAATATACATATTTATATATAACAATGTCAGACTATAGGGACGTAGATTGAGACTCCAATATAAAATTGCTTGAAAGCTAGTTTAATCGGCGCTTTTTGAATATGGGGCGGTAGAGCGTTCCAAAGTGGTATTGCCTGAATAGTACATGAATTAGAAAGAAAAACAGTACGTCTCACCGTACTGTTTTCCTTAGAAGTCAAAAGAATCAATTTGCTGTCTGAGCGAAGATTGCGATTATGGGATGCACCCAAATATTGAAATTTACATTTCAAATATCCAGGCACATTTATCATTAATGATACAGTAAAGAGTGGAAAGTATTTTCAAATCAAGACGATGGCGAATCGTAAGCCACTTCAGCTCATTGCGACATGCGGACACGTGATCAAACTTTCGAAGTCCAAAAATAAAGCGAATGCAACCATTGAGCGAGCAATCCAATTTGTTGAGAAGTTCCTGAGTGATATCAGCATAACACACATCAGCATAATCAAGTATAGGAAAAATAGTGGCCTGTACTAAGAGGATTTTTGTTGAGATGGGAAAGAAGTGTTTGAATTGGTAGAACGATCTTAAGGTACCAATGATCTTCTGACTAATGCAGTCAATCTGAGGTTTCCAGCTTAAAGTACTATCAATGTGTAGTCCCAGATTCACAACATGAGGTGCAAATGAAAGGGGCGCGACAGAGCTCATGTCCAACCTAGTCAAAGCATGAGAACTACCCACAACAAGACCTTGGCACTTACTTGGGTTGACACTGATATCAAACTTACTCGACCAATCAGCGATACGTCTCAGATCTTCATTAAGCGCTAGTATCGCATCATCCAGGTAGTTAATCTTGGCCTGCGCATATATTTGCAGATCATCTGCATACACATGGTGAGAATTGTAGAGGATAGGAGAAATTAAATTGATGAAAACGGAGAATAATAGAGGGCAAAGAGTTCCACCTTGGGGGACACCTGCCTTAAGGTCTGACCAATTAGACAAGGAGTCTTTAGTACGAAACGCTTGCTTGCGCCCTCGAAGATATGAAGAAAACCAGTCCAGTTCTGGGGGAGAGATTCGCAGACAAGCAGGGATAGCAAGAAGGATATCATGGTCAACAGCATTGAATGCGTTAGAAAAATCAATGAGGACTAATACCATTAACCGTGAATCCTCTATGCCCTCCCGAATGTCCTCTGTAACTTTCAGTAAGGCTGTCGTGGTGCTGTGGCCAGGCCGAAAACCAGACTGGTATTGGTCGAGGATATTATTTCTAAAAAGGAAAGATGATAGTTGGCGAAGAATAATAGCTTCAAGAATTTTTGAAAGGAAAGGTAGTATAGAAATTGGCCTAAAGTGTTTAAGGGTTGTGGGGTTATTAATCTTAGGAAGAGGCAACACATGCGCCCTGCGCTAGTTGTTAGGGAACGTACCAGATGTAGAAAAGATATGGGAGCTGTACTAGTTTATTGTACTTTTCAATGTGGGTTCAAGTTTACCAAGTCTAAGAGACGAGTTCAATATTTTTGTAACAAGGAAAAGTTAGGTATATAATAATAATGTGTACTTTTTTATTTATAAAAAAAGAAACTATATATATTATTCCCGATTTTAAATCGCATATATTTGTTTTTTCAAACAAACCAACGATTCGATCCCTTTTCAGGTCCCATGGTCACGGGTTGATTATGGGACCTGTAAAGTGCCCGCAACGTTGGTTTGTTTGAAAAAACAAATATTCGCGATTTAAATCCAGAAAAATAGTTTCATTTCCTATGTGAAACAATCGCGAAAACCTAAGTATGTAACCTATGTACTTTTTTTATTATTAGAACTGAAATATGTTTTAACATAGCATAGATATATTACTTAAATAAGGTTTACCTTATTTAAGTAATATATCTAGAAATGTCATATATTCTTCACATTAATCTAGTCACCTAGTAGCAACAAAACGTTATAATTCACTAAAAAACACTCACAAACGCCCATTAAATCCCACACATTTTAATGTAACTATAATGAAATACAAAAATCTGGTTTAATAACATTTCTTGTGTTTTCTGAGCGGTCTTTAATACATTTCAATGCTTAGTCATAACATATGTACATACATACGGTGATCGCTTCGGTCATTGCATGGAACTCAATAAACAGGAGTGAACGTAAGAACGCTTGAACGCCTGCTGTTTGCGGAATCTCAAAGGCGGTCACGCATTGGCGTTCTGCGTTCTATGTAATGTATTACGTCTATAGGCGTGACCTATACTGTTCTTATACGGCAACTGACCTATACGGTATTTCGACTACAACTATTAATGTACTGGGATTGAGCAAACAGAACTGTTGTTTGTCGGAATCCCAAGCATTTGTGTTCAGCATTATTTGTAATGTACTGCGTGAATTGCGTCACAAAGTGTGACGTATACACTAGGCAGACAGGAGTAAACGAGAGAACCCATGAATGCCTTCAGTTTCTGTAATTACTATATATGACATTGACATTGATTGTACGTGTAGCGCTGTGCAAATCGTAATTTTTACCAGTATTGTGCTTGATTGCTTTGGAATAATCAGTAATAAACTTGCATGGATTAATATTTGTCACTAATTTTATCATTCTTTATCAGACAAGCAAGCTATAAGTAAGTAATTTACTAATTATCGCAGAACAAAGTTTGTCTTACAAATTAATCAGCACAGAAATAGTGGTATAATATTTTGTCTTAGAATTCATACAGATTCCGATTTAGAATTCTTCGATATTTTAATCGAATCGTACGTTTGGATATCGTTCTCGAATCGAAGGGCGCTTTCAGTGCTATTCAGAACATTCAGAGTTAAATGTTCGATTCGGATTCGGATACGGGGGTCTACTCTCGATCGCCGTCCGACATCCGTCCGAAACAATTACTGCCTAATAAGCAATACTTGACCAAATGAAAATACGCGTGATGCGAATGAAGCTTCATACTTGATACTAGTCTTTTAATTTTGTCGAACATTACTCATTTGACAGTAATTGTTTCGGACGGATGTCAGACGGAGATCGAAAGTAGACCCCACGATATCGTTATCCAACAGCGTTTATGGAGTTAGTCAGTGAAATAGATTACAAGAAAAATGAAAATCCTTTTATTTACGTTTTTAAGGCTTTTAAGGTCTAAAATTATTTTAAGGCATTAAAATTAATAAAATTGAACAAAACCCAGACTATACAGATATATAAGATATTTCCATATTAATTCTTGCCATGTAAACAATAGGACGTTCGGTAACTATCATTCGATAACTGTGTTCTGAATAACGTTTGTAGCCTTTGCCGGTCGAGAAGTTCGAGTAATCGTACGGGAGTGACATTATTTCGGTTCGGTTTCAAATACGACAGAATGACGTTCGATTCGGGTGTTGGTAATAAAAATGAAAAAAAATCGCACGATATCAAATCGAATCGAACGCCAACTGAGTTATCGTAAGGTTCTGAATCGACCCCCAGGATAGAGATATCTAACAATATGATTTCGATGTATAAATAGCGTATATTAATATTCATAATACCTAATCCAAGCATATATTTATATGGTGGACATTAATATTACATGTTATTATTATTTCAAACTAGTTTTTTTGTTTACCATGTTTGCAAACTGTTTACTATAGTTGCAATAAATTATATTCTTTTCTATAGTCTGCCATGCTAATTGTTTATTAATATAAAG